ATTGGGAGCATGAGCTTTTGTGGGTAAGAACCTCACTTCTTCAGATGCATCTGAAGAAGTGAGGTTCTTACCCACAAAAGCTCATGCTCCCAATACTTCTGTTAGTCTTAAAGGTGCCACAGGACCCTCTGTTGCTATGCTACATATGTGAGTCATTCCCTCAAACATCCTGCCTTGTATCAGCACTTCCTCATTTAATGCAGGGAGTTGGTTCCAGTACTGCATTCGATTTTCAGCCTGCTTAAGCAAAGTATCAAGAAAATCCAGACACGTAAGTTGGTTCTTTTCAATATGGGGGGCGGAGGGGAAACTATCGGTGCCGCATCTGAGAAATGAGCTTATATTGATCTTTTTACACCAGCTTCAAGAGTAGTGTGTGTGTAGAAAACAGGGAGTGAGACATGAAAGTTTCTGCTGTACGTGGCAATGTGCTGGGGGAGAGCAGCAACAACATGCCAATCTCCAATTTCTCGTAAATGCCATTTGCTTTAGTTTTGATTTGGGGACAGGGGGAGTGTGAAAAGTGACTGCTTAAAAACTAATCGTAGAAGAGAAAAACAAATCAAGCCACTAAAAGCATACTGGTGAGAACAAAGGTAGCTCTCACCTGAAGCTAAATGTTTCTACACAATTTGCTCAATTAAGGAAATGGCATGCACTTTGTACTCACTTTCCTTGTTCATTGTATTGAATGAGATTTTGGCATCAACTTTGCTGCAAATGTGAAGCTTAGATTAGTTTGCAGTAAGTGAATGCTGAACTCAAACATAAATACTGTACTTACACTCAACACTTGATGCTGAAAGTTATTTAGCCAGTCTGGGAAGAGAAACTGTAACAAACCAATCTATTAGTCACAACACTAAACACACTTTAAAGTGTCAGATGCAGAGTGTTCCTAATGATCTGTTTGTGACCAATTCACAGAGCAAGAGTCAACTGTTGAAATTATCCAGTAAATATTGAAAACCACATAAATTCAAGAAAATCTCAAGCTGCTGACAGACAACTGACTTACTGAATTATTATTTATTATTGCTATTGCAGTAGCATTTAAGGACCCCAATGAGAGGTTACAGGGTAGCAGCCGTGTTAGTCTGTATCCTCAAAAAGAACAGGAGTACTTGTGGCACCTTAGAGACTAACAAATTTATTAGAGCATAAGCTTTCGTGGGCTACAACCCACTTCTTCGGATGCATATAGAGTGAAACATATATTGAGGAGATATATATACACACATACAGAGAGCATGAACAGGTGGGAGTTGTCTTACCAACTCTGAGAGGCCAATTAAGTACGAGAAAAAAACTTTTGAAGTGATAATCAAGATAATCGATGTTTGCAATGGCTCAGCCATTCCCAGTCCTTATTTAAATAAGGACTGGGAATGGCTG